ATCACTGTGATATGATTCTTTTAATTCTTTTGGAAAGATACCCAGCAGAGAAATGGCTGAGTCAAATGGAACCTCTAGTCCCAGCTCTTTGAGGTATCTCCATATTGATTTCCATATTGGTTGCACCAGTCTGCACGGCCACCAGCAATGGAGAAGGGTTCCTTTCTCCCCGCAACCCTGCCAACATTTGTTGTGTAATTTCTTGATAGCAGCCATTCTTTGTGGGGTGAGGTGGAATCTCAGTGTTGTTTTCACCTGCATCTCTCAAATAACCAGTGATGTGGTACATTTTTTTGTATATTTACTTGCTGCTTTTACTTCTTTGTCTGAGAAATGTCTGTTCATTTCAGACACCCATTTTTGAATCGGGTCTTTATATTTGGGGGGGTTGATTATTTTGAGTTCTTTATATATTCTTGATAGTAGTCCTTTGTCTTAGGAGCAGCTGGTAAAAACTTTTTCCCACATTGTAGGTGGTCTCTTAGTTCTGTTGATGGTTTCCTTTGCAGTACAGAAGCTTTTTAATAAGATGAGATACCACTTGTTGATTCTTTGTGCTAGTTCCCATGCTACTGATTAAAAGTGGACAATTAATACACATTTTAAAAATTAAAAATTTTAGCACTGAGACCAGAAATAATTTAGTTTTTAAAAATACATAAATCAAAACAAACAAACAAACAAAAAAATGGTGACCCTAAATGTAGAGTTCAAGAGGTGAAATGAGAAAGATAGGTATGGAAAAAAATAGGGTTTAGAGAGCTATTAAATGCAATTCAAAACTCCCACCATAACCCTAGCGTGTAATTCACACATAGTGTGCATAAAGATTTCACACATCTCAAACCAGTGAGGAGCTGGTAAACCACACCAAAAAGTGGTGCTAGATACATTAGTTTTTTTATACCAGAAATCTAATATCCATATGTGAAACCACACAACAGAATAAATTACAAATGAATTTAAAGTATTAAGATAAAAATAAATCTATAAAATACTAGAAAACACGAATAAATGTGTATATGATTTTATAGTAGAAAATAATTTTGTAAATATTTTTCCATACAGGAAATCACAAAGGAAAATGCTGTTAGAAAAATTATCTAACAAATATTACAATGCATTTAAAACTCATAAAATAAACCAGAAATCTACTAACACTTAGTAAGATGACAAAAGACACAGGCCGTTCACATACGAATAAATACAAAGATCTCTTGAACTTATTAAAAACATTCAAACTTAGTAGAAATAAAGTACATTTTATTAAAAATAAAAGCAGTAACGTCTATTTCAGTGGCAAAGAAAAATGGTAGTATTCAGTGCTGCTGAATATATTTCTTCAGAGATATATCAAAAATAATTAAAATTGCCCCTGGATATAATAATTTATCTTCTAAGAATCTTTTCAAAATCAATAATTAGAGATGTGGATGAAAGTTTGAATGCAAGTACATATAGCACAGAGTAAATCCTGAGCAGTAGGGGAAGGAAATAAAAATAGGATTGTTCAACCATTGAGAATTAAGCTTTTATAGATTTTTAAAGGATAAGAGAAAATTCTTGTTCTATAGTGCTAGGCATAAAAACAAAATTTTAAATGGTTCAAGTAGTAGGTATTTTGTGTGAAAAATAATAATTCTGTGTTTATACAGCCAGCCACAGCTCATTTCCTTCCTCTAGCTCTCTGTCTGGAAGAAAATATAATCAACAGTTGACATGAAAATAAACTAGAGGTAAGGTTATAGATGGTTTTTATTTTATTTTCTGTATTTTGACTGTTTTACAATAAGCATAAATTACTTTTACAGTTGGGAGAAAATAACCATTATCTTAAAAATGGAAGCTATCTCCTGAAACATGAATATGTATATTTTAGCACCCCTTGTATAACAGTTTTGCATCTCTCCACACGTGGGTCCTGCTGATACTGCCTGGCAAGGGAGGATGCGAAGGAATCACGTACCAAGTCAGTCCACTGTAGCATGTGTACAACCTCACTTGCTGCCATTTCTTAATGTCGCCTTATTGCACTACATACAATGCAATCAGAGATTCATTTGGGATAATAATACTCTACGTACAAATGTTAGCATGCATATAACAAAAACAATTTTTGAATAAACGTGGAATTTATGAAGCCATCCATAATTCAGTATGATTTAGAAGAAAAGCAGTCAGACTGATCTCATTTTAGGGAATAATTTCATGAAAAAAGGAAAGGCACAGCTTTGGCATTTGGGTCTTTTTTTTTTTTTTTTTTTTTTTTT